TGACCACGCCTGATTTGTCTTACATTCTGCGATCAGGTGAGATTATACTTCAGACTAGTTGGACTAGACTCTTAGATGACTCAATGTTTGTGTTGGTTTTTGTGAGTTTGCCCATGTCACTTTATAGTTCCGTCTGTAGTCTGCTACTCGTGTGTCATAATCACCTGACCTCTTCTAACCCTACAGATACCTGTCACCTGTCAACCTGGTTTATTATGTTTCATAATCCTTGTGCTAAAAGAGCAGAATCCTTGTGCTAAAGCTGTGAAACCATTAAACCATTGCGTGACTTGTCTGATTTCAGTCATTTGTCATTGTGTTTTCTGGAAAGAATCTGGTTCATTCTGGTCCATGGAAGGATTGCCTTTGATGTACCTTTGTGAAATAAATAACTAACTAATGTATTGGCAGTTGTATTAAATTAAATACTTATATAATAAAGAAGCATACCCCCTCCCACCAATTAAATAATTTAATTATGTCTTATAATTGCTTATAGAGCCAGGGCCCTAAGCATCCCATTTCAGACCCCAGACAAGCACTAAACCTGCTATACCAAAGGTCCGGTCACCTCTATTGGGGAGTTTGAACACTCTCGAAGGTGACTAGGGTATCATTATATAGACATCCTGTAATGAGTATCATGTTATCCCGTGAGACCTGCTATGAGTGGTACAAATATAAACCTTCCTTCTCATAAAGTTTAAGACTATGTTTTAAGTTGCTGTAATAAAATGTTCTACATTACAGATCTTGCTGCGTGGATCAGTCTGGAATGAGGAGTGTAGGGCAGATTGACTTTCACTTTTATGCTACTTTTTTTTTCAAATGTTTTTAAGATGTTGGCATCTGCAACAAATAGGACTGATCAAGACAAAAGCCTTTTTTGTTTTGGAATTCCAGGAGTGTTGTGGGAAAAACTACATGAATTCATATTATCTTCTGTATCCAGTGGCGTAGGGGGTTCAGGGAAAAATGGAAGTCTTAAGTAATTATGATCGGGATGTTTTGGCATTGCTGTAAAAGCTGGAAAATGTTGAGGATTACAATGGTCTAATGAGAGTTTTCTTAATATACTCTGCACTCCAGTGTAAAGCTTTTATTAAGGGATTGGCAATTCTGTTTTAAGTAACTTCAAACACTCTCTGTGTCTCTGAAGAAGAGGAAGATAATTGTTTTCCTTCAGAAAATATCACGATACAACTGGATACATTTCAAGTACAATCATTCAACACTGGACGTCAGTATCTGACTTTTAACTTCATGTTCCATTCTAGTTGACCTCTGTGTTGCTGGCTGTGGCTGAAACAGAGATCAGCGTTAATTTGCATTGAGTTCACTGTCCACCCCTCCATTTCCATGACCTGTGCGTTCCTAAACTCAACTCCAACAGCAGAGCATCTCTCTGACAGTCAGCACCGTCAGCACCAAGAAGTGTCTGTTTCTCCAAAAAACCATCCCCCTTTCTTGGGGAATTCCAGTGACACTAATTGCTGGGAACTTATTTGGATATACTTTTATCCAAAGCTGCTTGGATTTGCACCCATTTACATACCTGGGTATTCTACAGGAGCAATACGGATGACGCCCCTTTCTCCGGGGTACAATAGTGGCGTCTCACCTGGGATTTGAACCCTTAATCTTCCAGTGACAGGCACAGAGCCCTGATCACTGCTGCTGCTCTCGGCAGCATCATTTTTCTGTTGCCACGTGCGAGGCGTTCACTGCCACATGAAATAACATTCTTTGAACAGACAAGATATTAAAGTTTTGCTATGGAAATGTTAGCTGTGTGGGTACTGACGTTCGGGGCCCCTAGCTATGGTGCTGTGTAAAGAATAAATATTCTCAGCACAGGGTGCACTGAATGTTGGTTTAGGGTGTTTGGTTCTGCTGGATGACCTCTAGTTTGTTTGAGAGTCCGTACTGCTGGTGTTGCAGGATGCATTGGGGATTTTATTATTATTATAATAATAATAACATCACTTTATTAACCCTTTACAATTTCTCACATTAGGAATTATCTTTTCACATACCCCTGGGGTCAGAGCACAGGGTCAGCTATTGTACAGAGCCCCTGGAGCAGTTGGGGTTAAGGGCCTTGCTCAGGGGCCCAACAGAGAAGGATTCCTCTGCCGGCCGTGGAATATGAACCAGCAACCTTCCAGTCACAGGCACAGATCCTTAGCCACAGAGCCACCACTCCGCCCAAATACCGTTACCACATGTGCAGTTTAGGGCGGACAGGCAAACTGTGGAGGAGGCCAGGGAGAAAAATGCCTTGTTACACAGAAACCTGACACAGGAGGATCTAGTTGACACCCTGAAACACTTAAAAAAACCTGCTCGGAAAGTTCGGGGGCTTGATTTATGTGACTGAATGTGACGCAGCTAATTGAAACATGTTTCTGACTTGCCCTGAGGGTTTTCTTTTTTAAAAAAGACTGTTAAGGTAAAATATTTTTTAATTGTCACAGCCATATGGCCGCCCTGAGAAATGGGCTGTGACACAGTGCTGGAAACAAAAGCTGTGCATCAATCAGAATAACTCGTTCTGCAAAGTTAATTATTAGATGGATGTAATGGTGCATCGTTGGCCTTTGGCTTAGCCCCTTGAGCTACTCCTGTCCTCCGAGGAACAGAGAATGCTTCCCTTGCCTGAGAGCTTGCAGGTGGGCAGTGTGCTCCCAGCTTCCCCCATCATCCCATCACGTCAAGCCAGAGATGCAGATGGTGGCTCTGGAGGGGAGTTCAGACCTGCACCAAGACTGATGGTGACACTGGAAATCCCCACCTCACCCATTCAGTGAACACTGCTGCTTATGGGCTATTACACTGCAGAGGACAGAGTTCTACAGGCTTTTAATGTGAGTTTAATGTGTTAGCATGGTAGAGTGGTTCCCCTGAGGTGGGTTGGAATGGGCACCTTGCTGAGCCAGCGTTTCGTATGTTCCTCAGTAGGGCTTGTGCGCTCCGGGGCCGGCTGCTTATCCAGACAGGACTCTGCAGGAAAGCCTTTGGAATCAGCTTGCCGAGCTCTGCACAGGAGGGAAAGCAGCCTGTTGTGGTTTTAATTCCTGGCACTTTGCATGTGCTTTTAACAGCAGCACATGCAAATGAATCCTAAACGGTGCCAAGCCACAATGTAATCGCTCCGGTTTCAGGGTCTGTCCCTGTCTCTGTGCTTCCTCATTCCAGCCACGCTTCGGCAATCAAGTACAGGCCACAGTGTTTCGTCTACTGAAAGTAAGATCAATGTCATTCATCCAGCATCAAAAAGCTGCTTATTCCTGTTACGGGTTATGACAATTCAGAGCCTATCCTGAAAGCAAAGGGCACACAGCAGGGCACACACAGACAAGCACACAGGGATTATTTACAGAAACTGGAAAACCTACTAAGCACATAAGAGGTGAGGGAAAACTCATGTAGATGTGAGGTGAACATACAAACTCCACACAGAAGGTACCCTAGTCTGCAACCCAGGACCCACTAGCGGTGAGGCAGTAATGCTAATAATTCCACCCCATCATCCAAGACAGTCACTTAAAGGCTATAAACTGTTATGCGAGTCTGCCAAGGAGCATCTTATTGTGGTATTGCAGCATGACCCTGATCCTACTGTACTGTAAAGGCGTTGGCCTGTTACTGTGAAGCAGTTTGCTGCATCTTGGGAGACCCCAGCTCCAAGCGTACCCTGAGCCTGGGTGTGCTCATCGTTGGCTAATCGTGAAATTGCTCCGTATGTGGGATGGAGACTTCCTTCTTAGGAATTTGTGGCTGCTTGGTGAGTTTTGTTAAATATTGCATTTACTGAAATGCTGTGACGCACCATGTGTGAACTCTTCTTCTTCTGTGTGAAACAAGTTTGGTTGCAGTGCCTACAATGTGTTAACCACAAAAACTAAGTGATATGTTTAGAATTTTTTTTTCATGCACAGTTTCTTTTTTTGGGGGGGACAGTAAATAGTAAATAGAAACAAAGTGGGGAAACTCATAAACATTTCCAGAATGCTTTTTAATTCGTGGCGTAGTTTATTTTTACAACCAGCTTGGGCACGCAGAATGCAAACGTTTTCAATATTAAATTGTTTTTTCTCCTTTATCAGATGGAGTTGGCCATCTAATCTTGACAAGTTAGTTTAATTTGAATAGGACCTGTTGGAAGCAAGTTGTTTCCTTTCTCTTATGTCAAAGTTCTCTTCTAAGACACAACAGACCCTGTGTATCAGTGTTGTTGATCTTTGGGGCCGGCACTGTGCTGTCACAATCAGATTGCACACTGCAGACGGCAGTTCTGTCAAAGTTTACAAAGTTTTCAAATGGCTTAGTTTAAGGGGAAGAGGAACCACCCTGCTGTGTTTGTCTATCTAAGTTAGAGAAAGCGAAAAGCCTTTTAAAGGTGGACTGAGTTTATTTCAAACATCATCGAAGTATTGTTAAAATGCTACTATCTTGAAGAGCTGCGCCTTTTATCATCCTGTGTCAGAATGTGTTGTTTTCAATCTGCAAGATCTGCAAAACGTTTAGCTGCTGGGTGCAAGAAACGTTGAAAGAGTGTCGTTAACCCAGATTTTATTGTTATCTGTTTCTAAATCTTTGTTCACAGACTGGGGTTCACGGGCGTTTTACAGTCCCCATCCTGTCACTAAACAGACGGTAATTCTGCTGTACAGGCGTCCACATACCAGAGATGCTTAGTGAAATTAAAAAAAAAATACTAGAAATCAGATAAATGCTTAATAGATACAAATGATGTGTTTCGCCACAGGTCCTTCCTACAATATGTAATGAAATACATCTTGACGAAACTTGCACTGGGTGGGAGCAAGGCAGAGGTTCTGACCAGCGCCGCTTTCACGGGGGGGGGCTCGTGTCTCTCGCGCTGCGCGCCCCGAGACCCACCCGTGAGCGCCTCACAGATCCACACACACACACACGAGCGCGCGCGCGCGCCTTCTTAATATTCAGGAGGTGGGTGTCGTCGTGGGTGTCCATGTGTACTGTAGCTATTACGCCGGGCTCTTGAATTTAATTGCGTCTATCTGCTCTGGTCGTACGGACAGTAGAGGGAATCGCGTTTCCTTAAAAGCTTTTCCTCATCCCCTTAGCAACACACACTTGCCGGCGCGTGGATACTAATTGGACCCTAACGTGAGGTAAGCTTGTGCAGTTGTGGTGGTTTAAATAAAAGTTTGCAGCTTTATTTTCCCGGAGTGTACCTTCGTGGTTGTTCATTGTATGGTAGACTAGATACTGTACGTGCTGTAAGTGCCCCAGAGGCACTAATGAAAGCTTGAACCCCGATTAAAGTCAGCCTGGGGGTATACTGTACCTCGTAGTGTACTGTATACTGCGCTCTGGCTGCCGGCGGGACGTGCATTTTGACTCCGGCAGATACAGGAGGCGTCAGAACTGTTCAGCTCGAGTGCCTTAACATGCCATTGTGCTCGAATGATTGTGAAACCACGATATTAAAGTTGCATCAGGGGTGTATAGTATATATACTTTTTTTAGTAGTTAAGAAGGTTTACGTACTGCGTGTCTTTGCAGTAATGAAGCGCATTGTATCGTCGCATACAGCTCAACATTGCAAAACACGCCGGAGGTAGCGCTACCATTTCTAAATGAAAAGGCACAACCGTTAAGAAATGGCACACGATGCAGTCGCTTTGGCACTCTAGGTACCTCTTGTATTCCAGCTCCACCACAAACGTACTGTACGGTATGGAAGTGTGGAAAGTGTAAATCAACAATGATCGGTTTCTTTTAGCGGGGATAATAAACAGAACAGTGCTGTCGTGGGCACCAAATGAAGAGGGGGCATCTCGGAGCTTATTTGTGTTAGCTTTGTATGTCTAAAACGAGTGTGTCTGTACATTTTCCGACACCGCATGAAGCTTTCTAGGTAAATGTCCGAGTATCTGAATTTGACGGCACCCATCGGTAGTGAGCTGTATGCTTGTTAATCTATAGGTTTATTATTTTCCTAAGTGCAGTTCGATTCTAAGCGAGAACGCTTAGTTTAAAACTCCACTGTCAGTTTCTCACTACAGTATCTGTCCTGCGGGCGCCGTGTTCACAAGTGTGAGTTACTTATAGAAATAAAGATGGTGTCATTTGTAATAAAAAAAAATCTATCCTGAAATGAGAACTGCTGCTATGGAATTGTAGTATCTCGGAATCAGTCCCTGTAATGAAAGTTTGTGATTTTATAAAGACCAGTCCATGTCAGAAATATTAAACATACGTACTGACGATAAGTGTGTCTGTGCCCACGTGTATATTCCACATTATGTGACATACAGAATAAATGATATGCATAGTGTCCTTCACAAAGTAAACTGAACGAAGTTGCAAGACGTGCACCATGATCTGTTAATGAAAAGCTGTAATTTACCGTAATTTATCTGCGTCACATTGTCAGGGTAGAAAACTCTGAGGGACAACACGCAATTGACATGATTCTGTAACTCAGAGATCAGTGTCTTAAAGACTTTTCTGCCCGCCACTGGATGTAGCTGAATTAAAAGTTATTTTATTTCTTGCATCATTATCATTACATATGACCTAAAATAATTATCGCTTAGTTAGTTCTCCAACGGACTGCTGTCTGTACTGGTCATGCGACTATACACGTTTTGATCCCTGCGTTTTGTTTCGTTTTATGCCATCAGTAGCCCATACTGTGTTCTCAAACGCCCAGCACATTCATTTCTGTGCCTCAGTCTGTCTCGCACAGATTCTTGAATTCTTGAATAAAGAGAGCAATAGTTACAGGTAAGCTCTGCTCCAACAGCACTCTCCTAACAAGAAACCTTTGCCCAGAATAAAAAAAAAATGATGCACAAGGTGGACTATTAATAATGATCAAACCATATGATTTATTTATAGATCAGTATGCAGCCTCACTCGCTTTTATTAAGCTGCTCTCACATCTGCTGTTAGGAATAGTAGTTTCATAGCTCTGTTATATTTCTGCTGAATTCTTTTTTTGCTGCAGTCACGTAGGGGGGGGTTCTAATTAAAACGTGATGCTGTATTCGCATGGTACTCTAAATTCAGCTGCACTGATCATTACGTTCTGCTATTACCCCGCCACAGAGTTTTGCACATCTGTCTTTGGACACCATTTGGCACGTTAGTGAGGTGCAAACTCTGTTGCATAGGGGCTGGTTATGCCAGCACCAGTAGCAGGTGTGGCATCAGTGCATCAGCAGACGTGGAAACACATGGTATTGGTTCAGTTGTGGTAGGAGTACTAAATGCTGTTATTCAACAACAGCAACATATAAATGGCTGCACACAACTCTGCGCATCTCCCTCCATCTTCACCCTTGCAGATGCTCCCTGTCTCATTCCTTGTAAGCGAGGGGCCCTGTCACAGCGCTGACTTTGGTCCAGCACTGTCATTTCCTCAGCTATGAAGTTAAGCATGGGCTATGCTATCCCTTTATCTCTGTTGGCTTCTTTCATCGGTATTAGAATTAGACCGAATTAGTGAATGATAATCCTGCTCTCCCAGTTTGGGAGTGCTACTTTGCATTTACATTTAATCATTATGATTCACATTTAATTCTCCAGAAAAATTGAGGCGTTATCAATCGAGTTAATCAAAAGCCTGACTGATAAATCATTTGCCTAATTATGAAGAATGCCATCGATCTGAGGTGCCTCAAATGGGGCTTGTCCTCTTTAGCAAAAGTCTCAAGCTCTTGTGGCAGTTCTTTTTTTAAACTGGGATGAAATACTAAAGTTTCACCTCTTCATTCTGTTTCTTACAAACCCGTTTCTGAAGAAGTTTCAAGTTTGGTAGCTGCTATTGATATTACGAAACAGCCTTTTAATAAAATGCATGTGGGAAATGTTTTCAGTGTTTTTGCACTGTCATTGTGAAAGGCAATGAGAGGGTGCCACTGGGGCTCATTGTATTCATTTAGAAGCTCATCCAGCTGGTTCGTGAAGGATCTGAGGGAATCCGTTGTAGCAACATAGTCTGGGGTTTGTTCCAGACCCCCACCATCCTTTATATAAAGAACCACTTCCTGCTTTCAGGCCCAAATGCACTCCTTCGTAGTTTCCACTCGAGTCCCGAGGTACAGTACAGAACCCAGGTAGTTCTTTGGGTTGACATTGTCAATCTCTTTCAGGAATTTACATGCAATCTCATCTCCTGGTGCAATGTTGGATGATTTCTCATTGGTCCTCCAGAGAGGGTCCTTAAAAAATGAAGAAGCCTGGTACTATTCAATAGAAATCTTTGTGGGGCTGGCTGACGAAAAGGGAAGGGTGTACATCCTTCTGGAGTCATGCCTTTGAAGATTGTGATCTCATTAGCTAGGGGAAACATGCTGTTTCTTGGGGAAGGGCATGAAGCACTAATTCAGCACAGCGTGGATTATAAAAAGCTTAGCAGGTGATATTAACTCACAACATTGAGCATATAACTTACAACATTGAACAAGGCACTATAATGTTCTCATAGCATCAGTCCCTCTATAAAAACAGTCCCCGATCACTCAACAAGGCTGAGTCAGAGCATGTATCCATTTGAAACGCATGCACTTGTTTGCTTAGCTCTACATACAGTAGGTAAAGTTTACTGAGGGGGAGTTTTCGATGAACTTGACTGATAACGCCTCAATTTATCTGGATACAAAAAACATAATTGTGTATTGGAAGCAATGTACTCTTTGTGGGACATAGGCTGATAATGAGCCCTTCACTGTGGTGTGGTGTCATTGCTTGAGACGGATATCAAACCCCAACATAATGATCCCCCCCAAAAAATCTCTGAATCTAGTTTAGACAAGTAAAAGGGTCTGTGGGACTTTTCTGTCAGCAGTGTTTTGCTAGTGAGAAATGTAATATTGTACAAGGAGGAATGACACACTTCTAGAGACAGATACTTTATTGATCTCGTGAGGGAAATTGCAATTATAGAATCCTGTGGTAGTGAATAAGCCTGTGTTAGAATATAAATATCGTGGCAGGGTGCTGATCCTTGAGGGCTGTAGCATCTTCAGGTTTAATATCATCTGAGTTCATAGATATTTAAAAGAATGAGTCATTAGCTTAATGGAACCCATTTAAAGAGAACACATTTGTAACTGAGGAAATATCCTTGTTTGTGCACCAATTTACATTTAACCCCAGTTGGTGCCTTGTTTTCACTCATACTTTTACTGTAGCTTATCCCATATAACAGGTTTCTTATTTGCGTATTTAAACTAATTTAAGGGGCACACACACTGACTCAGAACATTTCCTTTTCAGAAATGAGTCAGAAGCCAAAATAACAAGTTAGCGTGGACAGGCGAAGTGCTCAAGCACCCCCAAGTCTGGAGTGATGAATTTGTAATTAAGACATGAGGGGAGTGTCTTGGCACCTAGAGAGCGTCAGCGGTGTTAGTGTGGGATTGTATTACTGAAAGGTACATCAGTAGGATATCCTGTGTTTGGAGAAAAGGCTGGATAAATTGGTGAAACAGTGGGTGTGCTTGAGAAATGCAAATACTCTTTAACCAAGGATCAATTATGGAAGAGTTTTGTTTGTGTTTCTGTTAACAGATGTACCCTGCGGGTTGTTTTCTTTTAAGGAGATGATGGAGTTATTGACCTCCATCGTCTAGCCGTGGTAGGTGTCATTTGTGAATTTCCATCCCCTTCTGGAGAGAAGGAAACAGGATGGATCTCCATGCTGCCTTTATCCCCCGCCTGTTGTCTTTCCCTGATCCCCGAGGGAGCCTCCATTTGCACGACGGGATGTTCCTGTGCCCTCCGGCATCCTTGCTTGTTCTCGGAGGGTTTTCAAAGGCCTGTCAAAATAAGCCCTTGTTTCAATAATTCAGACGGCATGCCGATCAAAACAAAACCGCATCCTGGAGCCAATCTCTGATGCAGCGTATATTGTACTGGCGGCAGAGCCCTGGACGTTTCTCAGGCTGAAGGGCCGTTATCAAGGTGATAAAATAGGCTCAGCCGCGGGAGAGCATGCCGACGAGAGCAGACCTCCTTCACGTTTAGCCCTTTCAAAGGGGAACGTTGATGTGGCGTGTTGATGACCGTGACTTTAGTGTACTGGATAAAAATACACCAGGAAAGGGAAGCGGAGGAGCACCTTCCTCACCTCCCTCTGAAGCCTTTCTGTTCTTTAGCA